TTTTTTAATTATAAATTAATATACAAAAAAATATTATAATCACTTAATGTTATTAAAGGTAAAAAAACAAAATTGAAATTTATTAAATAATTATTAATTAAAAAATGTGACCATAAATTAAAAATTAAAATGGATAAATTTGTAAATAAAATTAAAAAATTTTAATCCACTAGCGATTTGGTATAAAAAGTTACATAAACTAGCTTTTTTAATCCACTAGCGGTTTAGACTTTAATCGCTAAATAAAAATTTTACCGAAAATTTTACCAAACACTTTATTTGTAGCAATTTTGAAATATATAAATTTACCAAACACCTATATTTAGCGATTTAGGTAAAATCGCTAACCATTATCTCAAAACCGCTGTACCAAATGGGGCCTACAACAACCATAATTGAAATATCGAGGTTTAGTACTTGGAGTAACAGATAAGGTAGTCGGAGCACTAAGAAGATTTAATATCACTTGTTTTAGAGACTCAAGATTGACAATAGGTTGGTCTATCACCTCTTTGACAAGATAAGTGACAATTCGTTCAAAACTTGCCATAGAATCAATAAAACTCATAATATTGAAAAAAGTCTCTAAAAATATGAAGAAATAAATGCAAAGATCGAAATTACAACTCAATAAAATACCTCAAATTGAGGATAAACAATCCAATCTGCAGGAGAAGAGAACCCAACAACAAAGTTTCAGATCTAGAATAGATCTAAAAATCCAATTCAGTAACCAAGCAATGATAAAAGAAGAACCAAGAGCTTGTAGCTCTAACATTATGTTAGACATCAAAGAAGAAAGAGAAATATTTGAAGAAAAGTTTACTATTTTCTTGAATAATATTGTATGTATAATGACTTATATATAGGTATTTATAAAAAGAATATTCTAAAATATAAAGTATATAAAAAAGGTATTCTAAGGTATAAAGAGAATATTCTAAAGTATAAAATATTATAATAAGTGTGAATATAATCTAAATTATTATGTTCATATCTTAACAATTAGTAATGTACGCTTAAAATTTAAATGGTGGAATCGACACTTTCCATTTTCCTTACATCTACTCATTTAGATAAATTAATTGTATGGGTTGAGGGTAGGGGTAAGCTATGAAGAGACTAGGGGGAGCTAACCAGAGGGGGCTACAGCCCCAATCTTTTGAAAAATTTTAAAAGTAATCCTCATTTTTTTTTTGTTGTAAAGATTTCATCCTTAATTTTTATTTTATCTATTTAGTTATTCTTAACATTGATGAAAATAATTATTATTAATCATTTTATAAAGGATAAAACTCCATTTTGGTCCCTCTATTTTAACAAAAAGTTTCATTTTAATCCTTCTACTTAAGAAATCCTCCTTTTTAGTCCTTAAACTTTATTATTTGATCCCTTTTATTCCTTTTGTTATTTTTCACACATGTGGCACGTTAGATAATGAAAATTCTAAAATAGAGAAACTAAAAAGGGACAAAAAAGCCTCATTTTAATCCTTCTACTTTAAAAAACCCCCTTTTTGTCACTCTATTTTAAGAAACTTCTTTTTAGTTCCTTTATCTAAAAATTTCTATTATTTAACATGACATTTGTCTAAAAAGATAATAGGACTAAAAAAAGGTTGAATAATAAACTTTATGAACTAAAAGGGTTTTTTTTTTTTTTTTTAAGTAGAGAGACTAAAATGAGGTTTTAACCTTTTATAAATCTTGTCATTAAATTTAAAATAGAATCTTGATATAATAATTAGTAATTCTTAAGATTAATTTATTAAATATAAAAACTATATTTTAATTTTTAATACTTTTAGCCCAAAAAGTTTGATAAAAAGAAACTCTAAACTTTTAACCTTTCTCAATCTTGTCCTCCCACTCATTCTGTTCTTGGAAAAACTTTAGATTATTATCTTTGTAGTGTCTAAAATTAGTTTAAAATATTCATTTTAGTTACCAATATCTAATTTTTTAGGTCAAATATTAAAATTTCACTTCTAATTCATACTTTTTTATTGAGTCAAATCTATTTATTTTACTTTGTCATTTTTTTGGCCATCATTTTACTTTGTCATTTGCTATACCAATTTTTAATATGTTTCTAAATTTATTGCATATCTTCGTATGTATTTTATTTTATACCTTTTTTTCTTACAAATATAACTAGGTAGTTATTCACTAATTATCAAAACTTCCAAAATACAATATATTTCATATTGAGCATGGTGAAGTTTGATTTTAAACACCAATTTATAATTTTTACACCTATTTATTACTTCTTATTGTGCTTTTTAGCTTTCATACTCCATTAACTTTCTGTTATATAACTTGATGATTTTATATAATAAGTTAATAATAATTGAAAATTTATTTTTTTTCTAAGTGAAAATATTAAACAAACATTATGTTTAGGGAGACAAAAATTTTCAATAGTCAACTATTTGCTAAATAAAATAAATAAATCAAACTTCAAGTAAAAATCAAATTAATACAACTAAAATAGACTCGAGAGATAATATTTTACACAAGTTTGATATAAGTGCTCATAAATTTGGCCTCCCCTCATTCCAAATCCTGTCTCCACCCCTAATTGAGGGAAATAGAGGGGACCGGACCCCTCCCCTTTATTCCCTACATTTAGACAAATAAATAAATTAAAAGAAAAAATAAAGTAAAGAAAATTCTTCCCTCCCTTTCTCTTCAATTTTTTTACAACCAAATAAAGAAAAATACTTTCCCTCCTCTTTCCTCCCCTCCATTCCTCTCAACACAAACATACGATAAATGAATTGAATGGATTAAAAGTAGAAAAATAAAATAAAAGACTTTTTTCCCTTCCTTGTCACACCCCAAAACCTAAATCCGGAGGTGAAACAGACGTCGTACACTTGTGAGAGGATCCCACAAATGCACAAGGCTCAGAACTTACTAAATTCATAACTAACGATCCACGTAGTTTAGATCAATAACTCAAAATAAAATCTAACTTGCAAAAGAATGATCTTTATTTCAAAAAATCTATGCCCAAAATACAAGTAACTATCCTTCTAGCTCGTCACTCTCCTTGGTTTTCCACGTCTCAAGTCACACTACCTGAAATGGTGGACAAGGAAAAACTATTGAGACAACTTAGTAAGTAAAATATGGATAGCCCTTAAATAAAGTTAAAGCATGTCAGATAAACAATTTAAACATAAACTAGAAAAATACCTCAATGATAAACCATTAATGTAGAATAAAATTAAGTAGTGGTCTCCTCAATTAGTCATGGTCAGTGTTTAATAAATTCCCATTGGCAGGCATCAATAATAGCCAGTGTATTATCCCACCGGCAGAATTACAGAATGAACCGATCCTACAGGTATACATGTCGACATGTACTAGTGTTTGCAAACTCCCACTAGCAGGCGTCAATTATCATGACAATATTGGAGACAAAACCATATAGGAGTTACAAGAAAATCCATAATTTCAGGTTATCAGAACAATTCAATAAACTCCAAGTAGGCATGCTCAAATCAATAACTGATAACAATTTCATCTTAAACCAATCATGCTCATTTTTGTGTAAAACGAGTTTAATCTCGCCACCACTTCAAAAACAGTTTAAAATATGCTTTTAAAACCTTTACCTTAAAATCCAAAGGCATTACCATAATTTTACTTACCTCTTCTTGTAGACTTACCACAGCAAGTATTCAAGGTTTCAAGGAGATGGTGGTGACTTAGAACATATGCCACATTAAAGAACAAACAAGATTATAATGTATCCCATTTAGTTAGATTGGCTTCTAGTTTCAAAAAACAAGTTTCTATACAAGGTAACAATTTCTTCATACACACCCTTACTATTTCTACCCCTTTGAAATCTTATTAACATATAAATATGTTTAACCACACTTAGAGTGTGCTTAAAACAACTCTCATTGTCACACGCAACAGCAGCATTTATGGGCAAAACAGCAGCTATTTAAGGGTAAAAACAACAGAAATTTCCGACAAGAACAGCAGAATTCTTCTAGGCAAAACAGCAGCAAAATAGGAGGATTTTCTGGGTAAAAACAGCAAAATTTTATGACAAAAACAGCAGGGAAAAGTGCAAGAAAAAATAGAATTTTCTGGTTTAAAACAATGCAAAAAACAACAATGGAAATGTAGAAAAATGCAGAATTTTTCTAGGTTAAACAGTGTAGAAAAACAGCAAGGGAAATGCAGAAAAATAGCCAAGATTTAAGCAAAATGCACTAGTAAAAGCAGCCATGATTCAAGCAAAATGCAGCCATGACAATGGGGATTTTTAGAATAGAACAGTATGTTTAAAATGTGAAAAACTACAACAAGGTGAGCATGACAACAAGAATTCACATCAACCAATCACGACAATCAAGTCATTCAAAAAATTTTATGCACCTAAAGCGAAATGGGACAATTAATCTACACTAACAGCCACAACAAGCCTCAATAGTGTAGCGAACTTGGAAGCAAGAAAGAGCACATACAATTTCCCAATTTAAACAGTCAAAATTTACACCATATCTACTGAAATTAAGGAAAGGAAGCAATTTTCTACTCAATCTTACCAAAAATCTAGTGAGAGGCTGCGGGTCTTCCTAGAAATGGAGACCCGAGCTGTAGAGACAGCAAGAAATTAAGGAGGCCAGCAAATTTCTAGTAGAAAGGACAAACCCAGGAGTTGTTGAAGATGATGTGCAGTTGCTGTGAGGTGGAGACAATGGTCTGCGGCTTAAGGAGTTTGGAAAATGGAAGAGAAAGGTCTGGAGTGGTGAGATCAGTGATGAAGGGTGGCGAAGAGTAGAGAAATGGTGATGGAAATTAGGGAATGATTATGGTGATTGCTAAGCCTACGGTTCCCAAAAGGAGAAAAAAGGATAAAGAAAAAGGATCAGGAGCTATAACCATGCCCTCTTCTTTTTTTCCATTTTTCTTTTTTTTGCAACTCCTTCCCTTTAGGTTTAAAATTTTTACTATTAGGCCCAAAAATAATAATTTCTATTACAAAAGCCCTTAACTTAAATTCTAAGGTCTTAGAAAATTTTGGGATATTACATTCCCCTAACCAAGCATACCCTTATTGTGACTAACTTAATTGCCATTCTCTCTGGAATTATTTTCTCTCTTATACCTGCAAAGTTATAAATCCTCTTCTATATCTAGGAAGTTAGGCTTTGTTTTGTTTGGCTATTAAGAACAATTAACAGTTGTAATTATTAATTAATAACTGATAAAATAATTTATATTTATTATTTAATAGTTTGAAATGAGTTTATAGGTTTTCTAGTCTCTTAATCAGTTGTTTAAGGAATAAAAACCTTGGGCTTGATGATGATAGAAAAATATAGGCTTGATAAAATCAGGCTAACCAAACACCCCTTCATATGTTTTTTTGACTCACCTTTTACCCTAAATTAAGTATGGTTTCGACATTTTTAATGGTGAATTAATTTTTTCCTTTCTTATTTTAATCTTGCAATTAAAACTCATATTCTTCCTATTTTAAAATAATTATATTTTTTCTCATAAAAAAATAATTGCCTTTTTTTTTCTACTCTTTTCGCAAGTTAGTGATTTTTAAACAATTTGTGCTTTTAGTTATGTTACCTTAAACAAAAATATAAGGAGGCAATTAAAATAATATAGTTGAAGTAAAAAATATTATTTAATTTAAAATTAAAAATAATAATTCATTTAAAACAAATTGTTAATAAAAAACGACTAAGATTTTGAAATGAAGAAAGTATTTAATAATTCATCTCATTAGCAATGTCTTTTCTTACATACTTATAATTTCAATCTAATTTAATTACTAAATAAATTTATCTGTGAGTTTAATTGGGTAATTAAACAAGTATGCCAAATTGTCTTTTTGGCCACTTAATTTCCACCTACATTTTAGAATTAAAAAACATGAATTTTTTAAGGAGTTAACTGTCCAAATCAGAACTTAACTGATTAAAAAACCAAATTGATACTAAAAAATTCAAGTTTAAGGACTATTTCAATATTTTTTTTTAAGTTTAAAGATTGTTTTGGTCTAAAATTGAAAGCTTAGAGCCCAAATCAGTGATGTAACCTTTATTATCCTATAGGGAGACTCGGCAAAAATCCGTTCGACCTGTCAACTCAACCCTAACCCAACCCGTAAAAACGGATTAGGGTTTACATATCCCAACTCGTAACTCGATAAATAACCCGTATTATTAATCCGTACAGATCACAAGTTGGGTTAAGGTCAACCTGCGGGTTGATGGGTTGACTCGTTTGTTTTATTTTTTATTTTTTATTATTCTTTTTAAATATTATACTTATTTTTCTTAATTAATTTTCTTACTGGTAACTCATTTCATTAATTCATACTCCCTAATTTCTTGAGAAAGATGGAGAAATTATATGATGAGTTTGATCTCATTATTCAAGTATCATTTTTTTTTTTTTTTGGTATTAACAATTACCCAAGTTTCATGAATGAAATAATAATGCAACTAAAAATATTAAAAGATGTAATGCTAGAACATAAACATAATAACTTAGTGAAAGATGTTCTTGGAAGAGCAATTTCACCATTAAAAAAATGGCTTAAGCTACTTGATAATGTTTTAAGATGATTATAAAATTAAAACTTTATTTTCCAAGAAATTTAAATATTTTACGTTTAATATTATTATTGTTAATCAACTTATTATTATTTATAATTTTATGATTTTCTTTCTTAGTTTAATTGTTTGTGATTGAGACTATAAAGTACTTAGTTTTAATAAATTATAATACTTTAATTAGATTTAGATATATATAATTTTATTTATATATAATAAAATTAATAAAAAATAATTATAAAGAATAAAAGTAAGATCA